TATTTTAAAAAGTAAACTTATATTTTTTCAATATGTAGCATTCATTTTCGAATGTATCATGTTTGAATTGTTTTTTATAAATATTTTTTTTAATTACCATTGTTTACATATTTAACGTGTTTGAATTACGAATAAACATTCTTTAACACAAAATTAATTAGCCGTGATCAGGTTTTTATCACTAAATCGTGGTTGTTAGTGTTGTCTCCTGATTATTATACTATTTAATAATTTTATACATTACAAACCCAATTTTATATAAAAACCCTATATATATACTTGTATTGTGATTTTTTTATATAAATATCACTTAGATATTGTTTATTTGAGATTTAATTTAGAAAAAACTTTATGTACTTACGACAAACACTTTTTGCACATCTGTATTAACTTTATTTTTTGTTTCATTTATTTTTATAAATTAAATGTTTTATAAAAAAAACATATAATCAAATAAAACATTTTAATTAACTATCCGAAAATGTTGGAAATGTTTACACATACAAAAAGTTCGTTTAATCCAATTTCAAAATACATCCACAAACATATAAAACTAACACATTTAAGCATGTTTAAAACTCAAAATACAACATAATCAATTCATGTTGTTCGTTTGTATTTTGGCTTCTTTATGTTATGCAGATACATATGATTATGGTGACATCCCCTTTTTATCTGCAAGATTAAAAGCGTCGAGAATTGCAAGAGAAAAAAGAACAATGATACATGGGTTTGAAAATATTATTGAAACTTTTAGAGATTATATTAGAAATTACATGAATAAAATATCAAGATTAAAGGATTTGGATTTTACTTATATTCGAGATATAGTAACTTCTTCTTTTGCAACTTCCATTTATTGGTATGCTCAGTTTTATTCGAAAGTATTGGATGCAGGTTATCAAGCAAAAGTGAATCCAACACATTTCAACATCAAAGAATTAGTCAAAACAATTGCTGGAATATTTACACAAGAAAATATAGATATTTTAAAACAAATGGTGAGAGAACAAACAAATGTTGAAAAATCGTTCAGTGATAAAATGAAAAACGCCGAGAATGATAATAAAAAGAATATTTTACAAGAACATATTTCCGCATTTAAAACTCCTTTTGAACTTATTGAAAAAATACTTGAACTTTTAAAAGATTTTAAAATAAGTCCAATACTTAGAAGAAGTAGAAATGTCAAAAAGCTTTGCTTTAAATTGGAACAACTTGAAAGGGAGTTCAAATCAATGATTCAAAATTAACTAAATAACCCATTTATTTAAATTATGTTGTTTTAATTATTGTTTCGAATAGTTTGTTTACAATTCACTTTTTGTAAATTCCACACAAATTTTTTTAATATTTTGTTTCCGTTTTATTGTTTTAATTTAATTGTCATTAATATAGTTTAAAATATAATTAACAACTATTGTTGATTATAAATTATTAACACAGTATCACACTTTTTGATGCACTTTTGACATATTTTTTGGTTATTTATTTGTATTTTATTTTAAACATTTGTTAAAAAATAGTTATTCAATTTAATATAATTAAAAGATTTGCAACCAAAAAAAGTTTTTTTTAAACAATATATAACAATTATTAATAATTTTTAATAATTATAATTACTTTTTATGATAATGATTAATTTATAGTATTAAAAACTATATTAATTATACATTAAATTAATAATTTTAACATAATATACCCATTTTACATAACCAATAATTGTTTTCAATTGTTTCAATTAAAACACTCTTTCAAAAAAACATATTGAAACTTAAATATTGAAAACAAAAAACTGTTGTTTCCATTTATCAAATCAAACAATTGTAATAAAAAACAAGAACAAAATTTTACATTTTAATTGGTTTAACAATGGCATTACTACAACTATTGTTTATACTTTCTTGTTGTTTTTATTCAAATGGTTATTCTGATTTTGGTATTCGAAAAAGTATATCACGATTCGTCGCCCGAAGACAAGAAGCTCAAACCAAAAGAGATCAAACAACTTTAATTTCTGGAATTGAAAACAACCTTTTGGATTTAGAAAGGTACATTACTCAATATAAAAATCTTTTGATTCCAATGAAAGATTATGATACTGAAGAGATTCGTAATATGGTACCTTTTGTTGTTGCGTATCATATAACGTTATTTGGTAAGAAGTTTGAAAGAGTTCTATCTTTTATAACAACAGCAAAAGATAAACCATCATATTTCAATGTGAGGAACATATTCAAAATTCTTGATCAAATATATACACCAGAAGTTGCTGATTTACTCAGACATATGTCCACAGAAGTTTATAAAATTGCAAAAGATTTTAATCCAAAAATGCAACAAATTGGAGACAGTAACAATTTAAGAAAAACTCAACTGAAAACCCAAATTGATGTATATAACTCACCAGTCAGTCATGTGAAAAGTGTGTTAGATTTATTGATTGGTATGAGGAGTAAAAGTTTTAGATTGAGAAGAAGCAGCACGTTGAGAAAATTGATAGCAAAATTGAGAAGACTTGGAAAAATTTTAAATGGACAAAATGTCCCTTATTTCTAGACTTCCGATTTAATTTATACTTGAACTATTTGTTTGGTTTTTTAATAAATTTAATTTAATAATAATAAATTATTTATATTATCAATTACAATTAATTAAAAATATTATTAAAAGTAAACTATTAAAAGGTTGCTCAAACAGTGGAAACAAACAATTACAATACAACCTTTTTGAACATTGATCGGTATTAATCTAACAGAAACAATTCTATATATAAAATTGGGCATCAAAGACCATTTAAAAACTTATTGTTACTGGTAATTATTACAAAATAAATAGTGATAAAAATCGTAGTTCTTTTTTTAAACTTTTTATTTAAATCATAATAAAATACAATTATTTGTCATATATATATATATTATATATTAAATTGCCACTAATACTTATTATATAAATATTAAATCAATGTTTTATATTGATCACTCTTACAATAAAAAATTTTAAATTTTAATTTGTTTCAAAACACCAAACTCTACTAACAATCGCAAAAATTATACCTTGCCATATAATCTCAATAAAAACTAATTGTATGATGTTGTTATTTTTATTGCTATGTACCGTTTCCTTTGCAGAAATGGAGGACTTTGGATTTGCAGACGCACCGATTAGACAAGAAAGAAATACACGGCAGAATATGCGAGATAAGTCACGAATGATAACTTCCAATGGTATTTCAAGTGCATTAAACAATTTCAAAGAATATTTATCTGATTACAAAGAATTGTTGACTTCACTTAGGCGCGATTCAAACGAAGAAACACAAAAAATGGTGCCGTTTGTAATTGCATTTCAAATTGATACTTTTGGCAATTCTTTTCAACCAATTATACTTACAATTGAAGAAACAATATCAACACCTTCTTATTATAATTTTAAGAAACTCTTTAGATTACTTGACGAGCTACATACACCAGAAGTGGTAGATTTAATGAAACATATAACGGAAGAATCACCAAGAGTTGAAGCATATTTCAACAAACTTGTCACCGCATTGGGTGATAGAGACCAGTTGCTAAAATCGATATATACAAAACATTCGAGCGCTTACAAATCTTGTTTGTCTCATGTACAAACTTTGTTGGACTTTTTGCAATCACTCCAAACACAATCACCTATTTTGGGGAGAAGCAATAACTTGAAAAAATTGGCAAATAAATTGAGAAGAATAAGATTGATTTGTGAAGGCAGAGCAACAACTCTTTAAAATTTAAAAATTGATTAAGCAACTGAGTTGTTTTATGTTTTGAATTATTTTAATATTCAACAATCAGAATATATATATATTATAAATATAACAATGCTATTTTATCCAATTGTATTAGTATATTTAATTATTTAGTGTTGATTATATAAAAAAATGGACGTTGTTTTTAGAATAGCAAACATGTTTATCAAATACTAATGTATAAATTAAAGACGTATATTATATAATATATAATATATTTACTTATTTTACATTAAAAACCATTTTTTTATTTCACTATTATAAAAAAGTTGTTTAAAAAAGACAATAACAAAATTTATATGCTATTATTAGTTTTTTCTTATAATTATAATTATTATTACAAATAACCTAAAAAATTCCAACACTCCCGACAGTTTCTTAAAAGCGTCAAATCAATTGAATTTATGTGCATTACATTTCTCTAATTCCCGTTTCTTTATTAAAATCACCTTACAAAATTTTTTTATTTTGTAATTCTTTTTTTAAACTCAAAAAGTTTTGCAGATCATTCGATTGTTTTTACAATAAAAATAACACAAGTCGATTTAATTCTAATTTAAGTTTGAATTTATTTTTAAACTTACAAGTTTTACCATATTTCATTATTTCTTTATAATTAAATAAACTAAACATATGGCAAAAAATTGGTTTTAATGTTATTGCTTTTTTGAAAGGTCTTTGAACATGAAAAAATAACTTGATAATTCCAATAAACATATATTGTAAAAGAAACTATAAAATACTATTAATAAGTCGTGTTAGAATATTCTTTTTTATCTTATTTTCCAAATAAAAACATTTTTAGATAATTTCCGGTCTTTGGAATTATGCTCTTATTCAATTGAAAAGTTACATATTGGATAAATCTGAATGTATAGTTAAATTTACTATAAATTTTGGTATCCCAATAGAAATTGTCGTGTTATGAGTATTGATCCCGAAATGTACTTAGTAATACATTATTTCCAATAAAAAACACCAAATAAAAAATGATACACTGATTCCCAAGAAACAATTGCAATCATTTTATCCATTTTATTATCCATTTATAATATTTCAGTTTACTTATAGAAATCAATACAAAAAAGAAAGTAAAAGCTGGGATTACAAATAAAGAAGCAAATTTATTGACGTGCAACCAAAAAATAAGAGCACCGAAAAAAAGTGACTTGGACTGTTGTTTCTTAATTTATTGAATAATTTTTTAATTCAAAATATGTTGTTTTTTCTTGTCATCCTCACGGCTGTTTTGTCATTTGCATCAACCGAGCCGTCATTTTGCATTGACCTAGACTTAGTGATTCACTGCTATTCGCTTTCAAATTATGCTAAGGTGTCTGACTTTTGTTTACACCATTCACTGAGATATGAGAACCAAACACTCTTCATTGGATTACAAAATCTGACTAAATTAGAGTGTTCCGAGGTCACTTTTATCAACATCGAACTTGACGACTCAGTCGACTTCTTTGAAGTTTTTCTTCAAAACGCGACGGTCACTTTTCAGAGTAAAAACGTCCGTTATGAAAATGTCTCGCACAAAGTCTTTGTATTTTCAGACGCGGTGACTGTCCCATCAGATTATAGTTATATTTCTATTATTAATAGTTCCAGCAATACTATTAAATCAACACTAAAAGGCGCCGGGTGTACTGTAGCGAATTGTTACTCATGTTCAAGCAGTTCATTATCGACATGTACTGCATGTTATTATAAGTACTATTTAGAAAACAATATCTGCAAGCTTTGCGGTGTTATTAATTGTTACCGGTGCACGTCCTCCACGACATGCACTGAATGTATATATGGATATTACTTATCATCACTAACGTGTAAGAAGTGCACCACTTCAAATTGTTACAGGTGTGATAACTCCAACATCTGCTTGGAATGTCTGTACGGATATTACAAAGACTCCACTAACAATTGTGTTCCATGTTCAAGAACACTTTCTAGTTGTTATCGTTGTTCTTCCTCTACAACGTGTGATGTGTGTTACTATGGATCGTATATGAATAATGGAGTATGCACAACTTGCCCTGTTATTACCAACAATTGTTATTCGTGTAGTTCGGCAACGACGTGTTCGAGATGCTATTATGGATACTATTTGACTTCATCAACAAACACATGCAACGCGTGTTCTTCGACATTGTCGTATTGTGACAGGTGTTATAATCAGACAACGTGTACTCAATGTAAACCCGGCTATTATTTATCGTCGGGGACATGTTCCTCGTGCGGCGTAACAAATTGTTACACATGTCAAAGCTCGACAACATGTAAAACGTGCTATTCGGGATATTACATTAACAACAACGTTTGTACGCCGTGCACAGATACAAATTGTATGGTGTGCCCCACTGAAGATCGGTGTTCCAAGTGTAAGTCGTATCACTATTCAAAGGATGATAAGTGCATTAAATGCGATAGCACTATATCTTATTGCAATGATTGTTACTATAATGAAATTAGCTCAAAAGCAATTTGCACAACTTGTAAAAGAGGGACGTATATAAGTAACGGCATTTGCTTGAATTGTACTTCACTTGTGGGGTGCTCTGACTGTTTAATAAGTGGTCCCACGTGCACTGTTTGTAAGGGAGGGTATTATCTATCTAATGAAAAGTGCAATGTATGCAGCACTGGATGCACAACATGTACATCAAATACGGCGTGCTCTAAATGTGCAGCGGGATATTATCTGGATGGGACGTCATGTACAATTTGTTCACCAACATGTGCAAAGTGCAATTCGGTGAGTGGAGTTTGCACAAGTTGTGCGACTGGCTTGGTGTATGACTCACCGAAATCTAAAGTGTGTGTGACTTGTACAACTTTTGACGCACATTGTACTTCATGTCCAACAGAGAGCAGAGTGTGTGCACAATGTGCGACGAACTATTACCCAAAAGGAGGCGTTTGTGCGCAATGCTCAACGACTTGTCTCACCAATAATTGTAGTACAACCACTGGGATATGCTTACACTGTTCCTCTGGATATGTCCCATACACTTCAAATTCCGTTTCATGTGAATTGTGCAGCACTTTTAATTCATATTGCCAGACGTGTTCACAAACAGAAAGGAAGTGTGTGGCGTGTAAAAGTGGATCATACCTTTCTGGGACTAGTTGTGTAACTTGTCATTCAACGTGCGCATCTACTTGCAGCACTACAACTGGAATATGCTTTTCGTGTATCTCAGGCTACGTGCTCTCTTCAACTTCTTCAAATCAATGCGAGTTGTGCGAATCGTTTGATGCAAATTGCTTGACGTGTGCGTCTGATTCTTCTAGGAAGTGTATTGCATGTAAGACAGATTATTACATCAACAGTGCATATACATGCACACACTGCGACTCTTCGTGCTCTTCTTGTGAGCCAAATGGCGGCATTTGCAAAGTCTGTAAAGCCGATTTTGTCATGAAAAACCCGCCGGGGATAGCGTGCACAGGATGTTCTGATTTAGACCCAAACTGTCTGAAATGTGCGGCGGATTCCTCGGGGTCTTGTATCACATGTAAAGGGGGATATTACCCTTCAAAAACGACTGGTAATTGCATTCCATGTGATTTAACATGCAAAAGTGATGCGTGCAATGCGATGACTGGGATATGCACTTCATGTCAGAGCAATTATGTGTTTAAAAGTAACAAGGACGTGTCTTGTGATTCGTGCAACACTTTTGATGCACATTGCTCGACATGTGCGTCTGATTTTAGTCGGAAGTGCATCGTATGTCGCTCAAATTACTATCCAGTGTACTCCTCATCCACTCTTGAGACAACGTGTAAAGCGTGTGATTTAACATGTAATGGAAATTGTGACACAACAAATGGTGTCTGTCGTTCGTGTATATCAAATTATGTGTTCATTGCAGGTGGAGGAGGTACGTCTTGTGAAAAGTGCTCTTCTTTTGATGCAAATTGCTTAACTTGCTCAACGACTTTTAATCGAATTTGTACGACTTGTAATATCGGATATTACCCGTCACCCAATACCGGGGCGTGCATGACTTGTAGTGCAACCTGTCAAACTAACACGTGTAATACAAGCACAGGGAAGTGCGATAAATGTGCAACAAATTACGTGGTGACGTCCCCTCTTTCTACGGCGTGTATGACGTGCAAATCATTTGACTCGAATTGTAAAACGTGTTCGAGTACTTTTGAGAGGAAATGCGTCCAATGTGAGTCGGGGTATTACCCTACAAGTAATGGATTGTGTACTCATTGCTCGACGAATTGCTCTTCGTGTAACCCCACGACTGGGATTTGTGAACTTTGTAATTCAAATTACGTCTTTGAAGACCCCAAATCAGTGAATTGCACGTCTTGTAGTGATTTTGATAAAAATTGCAAGACGTGTGATTCTGCATCGAATAGAAAGTGTTCAATTTGCACTTCCAATTACTTCAAGACGACTTCTGGCGACTTCAAATGTCGGAAATGCGACGATTCCTGTGGAGGAAGTTGCGATGGCGCCACCGGCTATTGCACCAGTTGTCTGAGTAACTTTGTTTTTAATGCACAAAACCGGTCCAAATGCGATCCATGTTATGTGGCTATTGCTAATTGTTCTGCGTGTGCTTTGGACCACTCCAGAATATGCAAAACGTGTAGTTATGGATCTTACCCGTCACCCATTGACGGGTTATCTTGTGTGTTGTGCGATCAAACGTGCCAAGCCACTTATTGTGATACCACAAATGGCACGTGTATTCGCTGTAAGAGTGATTATGTTTATAAAAATCCCCATACGTACTCATGTGAATTGTGTTCCGTCTTTGATCCGAACTGTCTTGTATGTTCTAGTGTGTCTCAAAGGAAATGTTATGAGTGCAAAACTAATTATGCCCCAGTGTATGCGGCTTCGGGCGATTTGAAGTGCTCGCAATGCGACGCGACGTGTGGTGGAAATTGTAATACGACGAATGGACAGTGCGAGAGGTGTTTGGAGAACTACATACCAACAGAACCAATTTCTAAAGTGTGTGAGAGCTGTTCAACGGTGTTCCCGAATTGTGTCAAGTGCCCAATTGATGAGAGAAAGTGCTTACAATGCTCTGTGGGGTATTATCCGGAAGACTCCACTTCAGTATGCAAAAGTTGTGACCAAACGTGTAACTCCCAGTGCGACTCGATCACAGGGAATTGTAACGAGTGTTTGACCAATTACGTGTTTACTAGTCCGAAGTCCAGAGTGTGTGTAAAATGCTCAGAAATTGATATTCACTGCAAAATGTGTTCACGGGATTATGCAAGAAAGTGTTATGAATGTAATGAAGGGTATTACCCACATCCAGAGAGCGGAATTTGTCAGTCTTGTGGTGCCAATTGTGTCAAATGTAATCCTCTCAATGGCAACTGCATTTCGTGTAGTACAAATGCAGTGATTTCTGCAAGTGATTTGAAAGTGTGTGAATTGTGCTCGACATATGATGCAAATTGTATGACGTGTTCATCGACATTTGAAAGAAAGTGCATTGCGTGCAAACCAAATTATTATCCAAATGCGTCTGGAAAGTGCGGAGTCTGCTCGACGACATGTGGCGGACAATGTGATACTAAAAATGGGGTGTGCACTGCATGTGAATCAAATAAAGTGTTTACCGAAATACCATCGACTCAATGTGTAGCTTGTAATACCTTTGACACTAATTGTGTGACATGTGCAGCGTCTTTTGAACGAAAATGTGTGACGTGTATGACTGGGAAATACCCCAAATTAGATGGGAAGTGTTATGAATGTGATTTGACATGTAATGCAAAGTGCAACACACAAACTGGACAGTGCACTGCATGTAAAGAAAATTACGTTTTTAATACAAATAATAAACTGATTTGTACGGCGTGTGCGGAAGCTATTAGTAACTGCCAGACGTGTGCAAGTGACTATTCTAAGACGTGTGTGGGGTGTAAAAGTGGATACCATTTAGTGTCCAATACATGTGTATTGTGTAACAGTACATGTAATGGAAATTGTGATGGGTTAACGGGGAAGTGTCTTTCGTGCTCGTCCAATTCGGTGTTTTCTGAAGACAAAATGAGTTGTGTTGAGTGCAACACATTTAATTCCGACTGTGTTCAATGTTCTCCAACATATGAGAGAAAGTGTATAACGTGTACTAATGGGATGTATGCCAAAGATGGCGTTTGTGTGTCTTGTCCGACCACTTGTATCAACTGTGATGGGTCCAATGGGGAGTGTATTGAGTGTCAATCCAACTACGTCAAACCATCTGAAGGGGGTCAAGGGTGTGAGGCGTGTTCTTCATTTGATCCCAACTGTGTCACTTGTGCATCCAATGCTGAAAGAAAGTGTTCTGTTTGCACTTCCAATTACTTCAAAACGACTTCAGGCGACTTCAAATGTCGAAAATGCGACGATTCTTGCGGAGGAAGTTGTGATGGAAACAATGGAAATTGTCTCAAATGTGCTTCCAATTACGTCTTAAAAGAAACAGCAAGTCCAACATGTGAAGCGTGTCGAACCTTTGACACTCACTGTAAGACGTGTGATTCTAAATTTGTAAGAAAGTGTCAAATATGTGACTTGGGGTTTTACCCTTCTAAAACAACCGGGAAATGCATCTCGTGTGATTTATCATGTTCTTCGACATCGTGTAATACTTCCAGTGGTATTTGTTCAACGTGTGCTTCAAATTACGTGTTTAAGAATCCGAAAGAAATTGCATGTGAAAGTTGTACATCTTTTGATGCAAATTGTGCGACTTGTGCGACTGATTATAGTCGGAAGTGCATTCAATGTCGCTCAAATTACTATCCCAAAACAGTGGGTGATTTTAGATGTCAACAGTGCGATAGCACATGTGGAGGAAATTGTAACACTGTAAATGGCTACTGTTTGTCGTGTCAAAGTGGATATGTGCCGACTCTGAGCGACCCACTGAAGTGCGAAAGTTGTCAACTTTTTGATAGCAATTGCGAAGAGTGTATACCAAACAAACGACAGTGTAAGATATGTAAGCGTGGGATGTACCCTGACGAGACGAGTAAAAAGTGTGTGAATTGTGATTCTTCGTGTGATTCAATGTGTTCCACAACTTCAGGAGTGTGCGAAGGGTGTAAGTCCAATTTTGTGTTTAACGACCCGAAGACCAAAACATGTCAAAATTGCTCTTCATTTGATGCAAATTGTGAGACGTGTTCAGAGACTTTTTCAAGGACTTGTATCAAATGCATAAGCGGATTTTATCCCAATAAAGTCACGGGAATCTGCAATGGATGCGACTCAGTCGCTCCAAATTGTTATAAATGTCTGACAACGGAGAATAAGTGTACACAATGTTTTGATCCCTTTATACTCAAGTCGGGGACATGTTCTTTGTGTCCAACTGGGCAATACAAAAAGGATGAAATGACATGTGAAAGTTGTTATTCAAAACTTGTGAATTGTTTGGAGTGTACAACACCTGCTTCTGGGAGTGCGAAGTGCACCAAATGCTATGCGCCATATATCCCAGACGAAAATGGGAATTGCCGGGCATGTGTTGAAAAGACGGAGACGTACTTCTATGATGAAATCAATAAGATTGGGACATGTAAGAAGAATGAGGAGGGGTGTTCCATCCAAGTCGATAAGAAGTGTATGAAGTGTAATGCAACTGCCTTTGTTTCGAACGGCGACTGCGTGTCGACAAAACAGTGTCAAGCGCCTTCGATAAAAACACAGAGCTCGTGTGACTGCGCTGACCAAATTTCTATAAATAGTGATTGTGCAACAAGAAGTGACCACTGCAAATATCAAAAGACGAATAAGGGAGTTGTTAGTTGCATTAATTGTGATGATAATTACACAGTGTTAGATGGAAACTGTGTTTCCAATAACAACGACAATTTGAATAGAAACGGCATCATTTTTGGCTGTCAAAGTGGTGAATTTTTAAATACAGAAAACGTGTGTTCTTCATGTGACTTGGAGACGTCATGTATTTTATATAAAAATGAAATCAAAAAGCTTTCGTGTGGTCAAAATGAGATCTTAGACATCTCAACGGCGACGTGTGTGACCGACGAAAAGTGCAGTGAAACCCTCACAAGTGGGTGTGTCAAATGTGCAGAAAAGTCCAATCAAATCTCAGAAGGACGATGTGAGAAGTGTCTGATAGAACATTGCGACATCTGCCATGGAACGAATTGCTCAAGATGTGAGAGCGGCTTCTTATTAACAAACAGCAAATTGTGTTCCCAAGCGAACGAAGTTAATTGCATGAGAACTTCTGCAACATCGTGTGTGGAGTGTGGAGAAGGGTACTTTGTGAGTGATGATAAGAGCGAAGAAGGCAACTACGAATTTTGTTCGTCGAACATTAAAAAGACTGAGAACTGCAAGTTTTACTCTTCGAAGAGATCGAAATGCTTGGAGTGCTTTAATGTGTTCCAAATGAAAGACGGGAAGTGTGCGGAGAAATTTGAAGAGTCTCTAAAAACATTTAATAAAACGACTTCTAAATATAATAAGTATAATATAAATAACAAGTCCATTAAAAAATTAGAGATCCCTCAAAAAGTGGGTACTGAAGAAGATGGTTGTATATATAGAACTAATAAGGGATGTCAACACTGTCAAGATGGATATTACAAAAATAACGAAAATTGTCTTCCATGTGAGAATGAATGCAAGACATGTTATAACACTACATATTGTACTTCATGCACGTCCGACTTCTATTTAGACTCGAATGGCGTCTGTCAAACGCGTGGAGATTTCAACAAGATTTGTAATGTAAGTCTACCATTGAGTAAAGGGTGTGCGATATGTAATAATGGATATTATAGGGAAGGCACTGAATGTCTTACATGTGACGTTTCTTGTGAACTTTGCACCAACAGAGATGGGTGTCTGACATGTGCGGATGGCTATTTCTTAATATCAAGTGAGAGCAAATTGTGTCAACTGAACACGACGATATTGAATTGTGAGAAGGTGAATGTCTATGGGTGCGAGAAGTGTATTTCGGGGTATTATTTAACGAATGGGCGTTGTTCCCAATGTAGTGAGAATTGCACTTCCTGTCAAAGTTACGAGTTTTGTGATGGATGTGACACGCCCAATTACGTTCTAGTGAACTTTAAGTGTCTTTTCTATTCAAAAGTGGATAACTGTATTTCTGCGGAGGATTCTAAATGTATAAAATGCACAGGAAATAACAAGCCAACAACTTCTGGGGATTCTTGTCTTGCAACGATGAACTATGGAGTTGTTGTGGGAGTCCCAATATCAGTGGTATTACTCTTAGTACTTTTAATAGTATGTGTGATAGTAACAATACTATACATATTGATGAAACGGAAAGAAAAGGTGAAGATGGAGAATGTCTGTGTGTTCCGTATGAGTCGCTCCAATATCCAAATGACGCGCATTTCTGATGTTCTTTTAACGAACAAAAATGTGCTGAAATTTGATTTGGAGAGCGACAATTTAATTCCAGTGGACGAAGAGACCAGAGACCTCATCTGCATTGGGAACGGCACCAAACACGTTCTGAAGGTGCAATTTTCTGTGATGGATGGGTGCGACTTCTATGAGATCCGCACGGTCCCATCTTTAGTGACATTGAAGAAAGATGAGGCGTGTGAGTTTGAGATATTCATTAAACCTCTTTGTTCTGGGAATATTTCAGAGGCATTTACAGTGACTGCTTTAAATATAGAAACTGGCAAAATGTATGTAGATAAGATGAAGATGGAGGTGGATACAGAGCAGTCGACGAAATTGAATTATCGGGAGTTAATAGAAGAGTCCAAACTTGGAGAAGGATCGTTTGGTATAGTATACAGAGGGAAGTTCAGAGGACATGAAGTGGCTATTAAGAAGATGAAAGAGATGGGAGATGGAGATACTGGGCTGATGCTAGACGAGTTTAATAACGAAGTTTCAATGTTGAATAAGTTTAGGAGTGAGTATATCGTTCACTTCTATGGAGCTGTATTTATACCGAGTAAGATATGTATGGTCACTGAATTTGCACAATATGGAAGTCTACAAGACTTGATGAAACATAAGAAGGAGAGTGCAATTAATATAAAAATGAAGACTAAAATACTGTTGGATGCAACGAAGGGAATTGTCTATTTACACGAGAATGGGATATTACATAGAGACATTAAACCAGACAATATACTCATTTTTACACTGGAATTTGACGCGAAAGTGAACGGGAAATTGACTGATTTTGGGAGTAGCAGAAATATTAATATGATGATGACTAATATGACATTCACTAAAGGGATTGGAACACCAGCATATATGCCGCCAGAAGTTCTGAAACAAGAAAAATATAAAAAGTCTGCAGATGTCTACGCGTTTGCTATTACTATGTATGAGGTCTTTGGCTGGAAAGAAGCGTTTGGAAAAGAAACATTTAGATACCCGTGGAAGATAGCTGAGTTTGTTACAAGTGGAAAACATTTGGAAAAGAAGGAAAATATGACGAAAGAACAATATGAGTTAATTGATAAGTGCTGGAAGACAAGAGAAAGTGAAAGAATTGAAGCTACAGAGATCGTCACCGGACTTACTACACTTTTTAACTCAAATTTGATTTAAAATTTCGCTGTTTTTTTTTGTTAAAAGAAACTTGTTATTAAATTAAATTAATTTTTTATATTTATTTTGCAATGTCAAATTATAATTTAAATACATTTGAAGAGTCGAAATTCAAATGTCAATTCGAATTAAAACTATAATGATGTAAACTAAACTATAATAATATTAATGATAATTGTAAAATTTTCATAAAGTGAAATTTTAAACTTAAAATAAAATTCAAAACCCCATAATATAAAAATATAAGACTTATTTATTAAATATCGATTAAATATAAACATTGTATAAACAATTAAACAACTTGATTTTCTTAAATTTAAGTGTCAAAATTGTTAATAAAGACTTTGTGATTTAGTTTCGAGTTTCATAACGACAAAACCACTGTCGCAAAGAATATGATTTATTTTACAGTCAAAGGAGTCTATTTGTCGTAATTATAATTGTCTAACTTGCTTAATTGTCGCACAACTGGCCAATCATTTTGGTGTACGACAATTAAATATTTTGTTCTCGAACCTGTAACTTTTGTTGAATAAAAACTAAATTTTTTATAAAAAATAAATTTCATTATTAAAAAGAATTTTCTACAAAATTCACTCATTTACGACAAATAGATAATTTTTTCTGCTGGATTTACAACAAATAGACACCTTTGACTGTATATACAATTATTAACTTATAAACTTTTGGAATAGATATGTTGATTATTGTTTAAATAAAACTCGATAAATTTTAAGATTATTAAGATTTTATAATTATTAATAAAAATAAATATATTTTTCATAATAATGGCTATTAACTCACCTTGGTATAAAGTAACTCACTTTAACTATTCATAATTAAATATTCGACGTTTTACTATAAAAAAACTATACTCATTAAAAAAAACTATGTTTAGTATATCCATAGTTCAACAACTATATAAAGTTTGTAAAATTTATTTAAAAAATAAACCATAATTAACTATATTTATAATACTCGAAAAATAGAAAATGAAATAAATGGTAAAGAAAAAATTTATTTGGTACAAATATTATCCAAAACAACAATATTAAAAATTTGACATAATTTACATTTATCAATTCAAATTAAATCATTTTGAGTTGTTGTACAATTTTGTAATAAACTATTGGACAACAAATTTAATATATTTAATGTATATATGTGTTTATTTTTTAATCCAAAATACTATTATGCCCAAACAGATACATATTATTTAATTTGGTGGAATCATTTTCGTTGTTAGTATGAAGTTACACATTTAAAAGTTTCAATGTTTTATTCGAATTGTATTATATTTCTAAATAAAAGTGTGAAAATAAACAGTAATTTTTTATGAATCTTTTTTATAAAATCATCAACAAGTAACAATTAAATTAGTCTTTATTTTGCTTTCATAATTGTTGTGATGTTAAAGAAATACAATGGTTTCATTTTGTGTGTTGTGAGATGAAAAAAATATTATGATAATTAAGTAAAAATAAATCAATAAATAACACTTGTCTATAATTGTTAACATATGTTGCTGTATTATATTTGTGAATAACGACGCAATGAATAAAATTAAAAAAAAAGTATTATACTTTGACAAATTCTTAAAATTTTTTCATTGAACAAACGAAATGTCACAATTATTAAACATAAGTTCCAATCAGAAAATAAATTATTTATCTCTTAATATTTTATCCAAAAAATATCAATAAAAAAATCAACACAAATGTTTATTTTTATTTACACATTCAAAGGTTTTGTAATGCACTAACTTTGTTTTTCCAATTAATTAAAATGTATACAACTTAGAGACAACTTTAAATGTGTAAAACTATACATATGTTAATCGAATTCATTTTTTAAATCACATTTTTAATAATTAACGTAATTAAAATAATTTCATCATAGAAATTAATCAATACAACCTAATTAATTATTTTCATTGTTTGTGTTGTTGTTAATATTTAACATAATAATTTGGTTATAAACATTACTCAGCTGTTTAATGTCGTGTTCATCATATACTCTAATAAGTTACTATTCCGACATCTTAACATTTTACATGATTAAATTTTTATATATTAGGTTGTGTTTGTAGTAAAAGTGTACTTTATTGATAATGTGTCTTTGTTATTCGTAGTTTTATTGTATGTATTATTGAAATTTATAAACAATTAAACCAGTTGTTTGGGTTATGACAAATGTATGTAATTGTTCTTGATGACGAAAAACAATTTTATCATTTTGGTTTTATATTATTCAATGTTTTTATTTTAAAAATATTGTTCGTTTAATTCAAATATCTTTGGTTAAATAACTCATTTATTATTTATTAAATTTTTTATTGACTGTTCAAATCAAAAATGATACAAATCTTAAAATTGTAATATAATAAATTCAAATGTGTAACAACACATTCACTTCGTTGAATTTGTATGGCGATATCTTTCGTGTTGACAACGATATAATTATTGAACACAATGAGTATTTTTTTAAATCAATTAATCGATTTGTTTTTATTTTTTTCATTTATGTAAACTTTAATTCAATAACAAAAATAATTTAAGTAAGTCAAAATGTTATTTGTATTTGTTTTTTATTTTTGTTTTTTCATCACAATTTAGATATGAATTATTTTGATTAATGGCATATTTGCCCAAATGGTCAAGTTTTTGATTGAGTGGATACTTATATAGCAATTTAAATAAAAACTATATTTTATTATTTTGAAGAAATTTTATTTTATTATTTAAAAAACCATTAAAATAGTAAATTATTTTAAGTGAGTTACTTTTATAAAAGTGAGTCAAAAGCGAAGTAGTGAGTCATTTTTTGACAAGTGAGTTTTAAAAGTGAGAGGTGAGTTAATAGCCATAAAGTATGTTTTCTATTTAAAGATGTTTGGTATTTACTATGAATTATAATAATATTGTTATAATTAATAATAAAAATAAAGAGGTTTTTCTAAAATAAAGTTTGTTTTTTATTTTTTAGTTTTTTTATAAATGTGTTAAAAATAATAAAATGGCTTGACAAGTAAAAAATTTATACAGATGGGCTAAAAAACCGCTTCAGTCTTTTTAACCAGGCATCTCCAATTTTTGCTTTTCAGTATTTAGAGATCAAACTGGTATTATTAGTAAATTTTTAGCAAGAAAAAAAATAATTGTCGAATAAAATAGTTTTTGGTATAATTTGGTTAAGTTATTCCTGAATTGGAATTTAAATTTTTAATTTGGCAAAAATAATTTTTGGTAAAACGTTATAATAAACTAAAATGTTTTTAAATTGGGAAAAATAAACTTTTTTGAATTGAATTGTTTAATTTTTAATACAAAAAGCAATCCACTATAAACAACAAACATAATTAAAATCGGGACTTACCTTTTACACCCACACCCCGCTATAAATACATATTTTTATATAAAAATAAAACATTTTTGTATTTTTTGTTTTTTGAGTCTTGAAAAAATAGGGTTTTTCTTTTTCTCATTTACATCTAATAAAATAAAACAAATAAAAAGTTTTATATAAAACGTCATTTTTTATTTTTTTGTTTTTTTTTTGTCGCATGTTTTGGCGCAAAGTGAACGTTTTGATTTATATTTAACTTTAAAACACCAAATTATATAATAATTAAATAAACCACACTTTTAATATTAACGAATCTTAAACTCTTAATTACTAAATGGAAGAACACTCAACCAAAATCCAAGTACTTTTTACCTTCGATGTAAAAACCAAAGAAGGCAATCCTTATTTGGTTAAGGAAGGGATTGAAACCCCAGACAACATCATCGATTCAATAGCCAATGCGTTTATTTCCTACAACTTCAAAACCCAATCAAAAACAATGGCAGAGGCTTCAGCTATCTCTGTTGCTAACCAGACATTTTCTCTTTTTGTTACTAAAAACAGCGATTCACAAAAACTCAAACAGACATTCCGTTGTGTTTACCAGAAATGTTATTTCATATATGATAAGAGTGGTCTTCGATGGTGTTAGGAAGTTTGTTTTTATGTTTATGGTTATTATTACATTAAAATGTTATTTGTTTTCAATAGACAACATAGATGTATTGTTTTTATTGTTAATAAAGTTATAATACATTTATAATATTTCAATAAGTTTTCAAAAATAATACTTAAGGGATTCATGAGGATTGTTAATTTTTCTGAGGATGGTAAATATCTTAAACATAATTTCTTTCAATTTAGATTTTTTTTGCCTAAGATCAAAAAGGTATATTTTGAAACACACGATTTTATTTAAAAATGCTATTTATGGATTTTTTGAAAGATGATTCTTTCAGTTGATTTTTACAAAAAAATAATCTACTTCTATTTTTTGATTTACCACAAGACTAACCTTGGTTTATATGAAAACATTTGACAGACATTTAAATTATCAAAAAAGTCAATTTTTTAATCAAAATCACAAAACAAATTAATCTAACAATTTTTAATCTTTTTCACAAAAAAAATTTATTATAAATCAATTCATGATATTTCAAACAATAAAAATTGATAGCAAATAATGTATTAATAACGTATATTCTATGCGATGACAATTTATGTATTTGCGCAAATTCAAAAGAGAGGTTTTGGATATCGATAAAACAACGATTGATAAATAAACAAATTTTAAAATAAAATCATTTTTGTTTTAAACGGTTTTATTTATATTTCAAAACATATATACACAAGAAATATATGTTTATATTATTTTTTATAATACAATATTAATTCTCAATGAAAATGTGTTCAATTTAATAATCAATTTTATATATTATTTGGCGTTTTTGTTGTTTTTTGTCGATTAATTGATATAATCAATTATCAAAACCCACTTTATAAAAATTCTTTGATAATTTTATTTATAGAATTTTAAATCAATAGTGGCAGTGCTATACATATCTCTGAGGATGGTAAGTCGTGTCACAAACAGACATTGTCAACACAGACTTAAACATCTAAGAAGTGAAATGACGTGTTCCCATATTTAAAAA